TCCTTGGAGCACTTAACACCCAGATCGCCCATCAAGGAATCTGAGATCATTGACATTTTCCTGGGGCCTCTCTCAAGGATGAGGTTTTGAAGATTATGCCAGCGCACTGGGTGCTAAAAAGGTTAGTTGTGTGGTCTCTAGGTTTTGGGTGTCTACTAAATCAAGCTTGTTCAACTTTTCTATATGCTTTTTTTTTTTGTTTTTGAGACAGTCTCACTCTGTTTCCCATGCTGGCATGCAGGGGCACAATCTTGGCTCACTGAAACGTCAAGTTCAAGTGGTTCTCCAGCTTTAGCCACCTGAGTAGCTGGGATTACAGGCATGAGACACCACTCCTGGCTCATTTTTGTATGTTTTATTTTAGTTTCACCATGTTGGTCAAGCTGGTCTCCAACTCCTGACCTTAAGTAATCTGCCTGCCTTGGCCTACCAAACTGTTGGGATTACAGGTGTGAGCCACTATGCCTGGCCCAATTTTTCTATATTTTTATTAATTCAGTCTGCTTAAACCAGCAGTTCCAGTGAGAGGTGGTATAATTTCCTGTGTGGTGAATGTGCTCATTTATTGATTTTTCCTTTTCTTGCCAATTTTTTGTTCCGTAGTCATTTGAGGCTCTGTCATTACGCAGGTGCATACAAGGTCAGAATGGCTGTTTCTTTCTTTTATTTTTTTTGAGATGGAGTTTTGCTTTTGTCACCCAGGCTGGAGTGTAGTGGCGCGATCTCAGCTCACTGCAACCTCCACCTCCTAGGTTCAAGTGATTCTCCTGCTTCAGCCTCCCAAGTAGCTGGGATTACAGGCACGCACCACCACGCCCAGCTAATTTTGTATTGTAGTTGAGACTGGGTTTCGCCATGTTGGTCAGGCTGGTCTCGAACTCCTGACCTCAGGTGATCTGCCTGCCTCGGCCTCCCAAAGTGCTAGGATTATAGGCGTGAGCCACCACGCCTGGCTGCTAATACTTCTTTTAAAACAGTTGGCTTATTTATGTATTTATTCGCTTTCCCCCTCCCCCCCCCCCGCTCCTCCCCACTGGCGAATGCTTTGGAATGAATACTTATCAGTATGCTGCAACTTCTTTTAATCCTAATGATTTTGCTCTGGAGCCTACTTTGTGCCATGTAAGCTCTTCATCACTAGCTTCCTTTCGAGTGGTCTTTGCCAAGTGCGTCTCCTTCCATCTGTAACAATTAGAGCCATTCCAACTTAATGGCTTAATTAGACAAACTTAATGAAATAAAACAAGAAGACAAGATTAGAGGAAAAAAGGATAAAAAGGAATGAGCAAAGTCTCCAAGAAATATGGGATTATGTGAAAAGACCTAATTTACGTTTGATAGGTGTACCTGAATGTGACGGAAAGAATGAATCCAACCTGGAAAATACCCTCCAGGATATTATCCAGGAAAACTTTCCCAACCTGGCAAGGCAGGACAATACTCAACTCCAGGAAATACAGAGAACACCACAAAGATATTCCTCAAGAAGAGCAACCCCAAGGCACATAATTGTTAGATTCACCGGGGTTGAATGAAGGAGAAAATACTAAGGGCAGCCAGAGAGAAAGGGCAGGTTACCCACAAAGGGAAGCTTATCAGACTTACAGCAGATCTCTCAGCAGAAACTCTACAAGCCAGAAGAGAGTGGGGGCCAGTATTCAACATCCTTAAAGAACAGAACTTTCAGCCCAGAATTTCATATCCAGCCAAACTAAGCTTCACAACTGAAGGAAAAATAAAATCTTTTATGAACAAGCAAGTACTCAGAGATTTTATTACCACCAGGCCTGCTTTACAAGAGCTTCTGAAAGAAGCATTACACATAGAAAGGAACAACCAGTAGTAGCCTTTCTAAAAATACACCAAAAAGTAAAGAGCATCAGCATAAAGAAGAATTCACACCAACGAATGGATAAAACAGCCAGTTAACATCAAATGGCAGTAACCATAAATTTACATCGATTAAATCCCCCAATCAAAAGATACAGCCAAAACCCAACGGTATGCTACATCCAGACCTGTTTCACAGGCAAGGATACACAAAGACTCAAAACAAAGGGATGGAGAAAGACTTACCAACCAAATGGAGAGCAAAAATAAATAAATAAATAAAAAGCAGGAATTGCAACTCTCGCATCTGATAAAATAGGTTTTAAAGCAACAAAGATATAGTGGTAAAAGGATCAATGCAACAATAAGAGCTAACAATCCTAACACCCAGATACATAGAGACTTAGACTAAATGAGACAGAAAATTAATAAGGATATCCGGGACTCAAATTCAGATCCGGAACAAGTAAACTTAATAAATATTTATAGAGCTCTCCACTTCAAATACACAAAATATACATTCTTGTCAATACCACATCACACCTACTCATAGGTCTACATGAAATATTGATAGGCCATTATTAATACCCATTTTTTAGAATAAAGCAACATTTCCATTCTCTCTCCCTCTTTTTCTTCCTCTTTCTTCCTCTCCTTCACTCCTTTTTTTTTTTCTTTCCTTAAAAAAAAGAAACCCTGAATAGTCCAATAACAAGGGCTGAAGATGAGGCAGCAATTAGCCTACCAGCCAAAAAAAGTTCAGGTCCAGATGGGTTTACAGCCAAATTCTACCAGACCTACAAAGAGGAGCTGCTACCACTCCTTCTGAAACTATTCCAAACAAAAAACAAAACAAACAAACAAAAAAAATAGAGCCATTCCAGCTATGTGTCAAAATAAACAAGTAAAAGGGTTTCTGATCAAGCACGGACAACTTGCACAATCGTCGGAAGAAATGAAGGAACAAATCCCAGCCCTCTGAATCGGCCACCTCCTGGGATCAGGAATAAATTGTAACCTCAAAATGCAGATACAACAGTCTACCTCCCGTCCCCTAAATGAGATGCCAAGCATGCCCCTCCCCTCAGCCAGGCTGTCTCCATCAAAACTTCAAGGACCACTGGCCTCTCCACTGGCCCACATCCCACTGAGGAGCCCCAGGCTCTGAACCAGCTGCCTATGTACCATCCACTTGGCTACAGCTGCTCCCCAGGCCTGCCCTTCCTTTGGAGACACCTCTGTCTGCCAAGGGTGCTGTCACCCACCTAACTTTCCAAGCCAGAATCCAGTGGTACCTTGCTGCTCGCTCCACTCCCTGAAGAGGCTGCCCCCATGCCTGTCGAGTTCTTTCAACTACTTGAACCTTCTGTAATGTCAGACTGCAGCATGTTTTGTCTGGGCTTCGGCAATGGCTATGCTTCCTTCTCTCTCTCTATCAATCAACGAATCATCAATTGATCAATCATCTATCAATCAACTATCCACCTATCAATCTATAATCAACAATCTATCAATCTCTGTTATCTACTTACATAATAAATCATTCATGTAGCTTCATATCTACCTGTTATCATCTGTGTCTCCGTCTATCTTTCTTTTATCCCTTTATCATGTATCTTTCAATCATTTATCTATCACCAGGCCCTGTCACATGTGCCTGTAGTCTCAGCAACTCAGGAGGCTGAGGCAGGAGGACTGCTTGACACCAGCAGGTGGAGTCCAGATTGGGCAACATGGTGAGATGTCATCTCTAAAAAATATTTAAAATAATCTGTCATCTCTCTGCCCATCTATCATCTATCCATGTATCTGTCATGCATTATCTTTTATCTATCCCTCATCACCTATCAATGTGTCATCCATCATCTACCAATTATCTACCAATCGTGTCTATACAGCTATACATCTACATATCTATATATCAATTTATCCATCTATCCAACAGCTATCATCTAGCTACCTGTTTTTGAGGTGATATTCAAAAAATATACAATCAATATACAAATATACAGTCAATCCCAATTCAGTGGCATTTAGTATGCTGTATAGTTCCAGAACATTTTCTTCACAATAAAAAGAAACCCTGAGGCTGGGTGTAGTGGCTCATGCCTGTAATTCCAGCACTGTGGGAGACCAGCCTGGGCAACAGAGTGAGATCCTGTCTACAGAAAAAAATCACAAGATTGACTTCAACTACTTCTTTCCCATTCTTCTCTTTCTTTTCTTCCCTGAAGAACCTCTTTCAGATATGGCGCAAGGTAGAAATTTCCTCTTTAGGCAGGATCTGATGCTTCATGTCATTATAGAGGTTCTCTGGAAGCCTTCTTATGGGTTCTTTTAGTCTTCATCCTCGTACATTGTATCATCTTGCATTAACCCCAGTTTATTGAATCCTGCAGTATTGAATACCATTTTTGAATATCCTCCAGCCACTTTCCTGATGCTGAAATAGCCTCCTTGCCAGCCATTTTGGGCAGAAAGTGAACTGTTGCCTTCTGGGTAAGTCATAGAGGACACACTGGGCTACAATTCTTTTTTTTAAAAGGAATCCCCCCCTCCAATTTTCCTTCCCCCACTCCAGCCCCTGGCATTCACTGGTCTGCTCTCTTTCCCAATGAGTTTGCCTATTTTGGACATTTGTCTGGCTTCTTTGAGGTCCATCTGTGTCATGTTATGGCTGAATGGCACTGCGCTGTGTGGGCAGGCTGTTTGTCCATTTCTCTGCTGACAGGCAGTCGGGCTGCCCCACCTTTGGGAGGCTATGGCCATCCGTGCATAAAGGTCTGGCCGCATGGATATTCTCATTTCTCATGCTTCTGAGGCCAGGTGGGCTGCGGCACCCCATTCTCCTTGGCCACCCTAACATGCAGCCGCAGGCCTGCAGAACTCCACATTGCTTCCTTGTTGCTGAGAACTCCTCAGTGGCCTCTGGGCCAAGTCCTGGCTCTGTAGTATGGCCTACAAGGCCCGAGGGCTGCAGCCCTCCCTTCCACTCTGATTTCCCTCAGGTCCCTGCACAAGCGGCCCCCTGTCCCTAGAAAAGCTTAGACATCCCTTCTCCTGCCTTCGTGCTCCCGCAGGGAGCAACATATCCCACCACTAGTCCATCTCTCCCCGAGACCCACAGCAGACACCACCAGAATTTGAGGCACAAGGCACGGAGGAAGGACTGCATTTGCCAATGGAGGCTTTTACTGGGGGACTGGGGGTGGTGCCCAGCCCGAGGGCTGAGGGTCCCGGAAAGGCACACGGTGGCAGTGGGGTCTCCCTCGGGCAGGCGCTGGCTCTGCAGACAGCTCCCCCAGGCGACCCTTCTTTGGCACTGAGCTGGGAACATGGTGCCTGCACTCCTGGCTGGCAAGCAGAGGCCTGTGCAGCCCGGTGGCAGCTGGCAGTGTAGGCTGGTGGGGTGATGGCCCCAGGGGTTGGGTTTGGCACCAGTGGGAGCCAGGGCCCCATGGGACTCAGAGGCTGGGCCGCCCTCACTGCTAGCAGGGTAGTCACATTGGCCATGGAGATGGCTATGAATAGAGAATCCAATAAATTAGGCAGTAGAAAGTGGTGGCAAGGGGCCGAGGGGCTGGGCTACGTTCTCATTCAGAAGGCAGTGCTGTGCATCCCTCTCCCTCAGGCTCTTTGGGGCTCCTGGGGGGAGAGGATGCAGGTGAGGGGCTGTCTGACCATGGGTTCCACTGGGGGGCTTTTATGGCATCTCGTGGGACAGAAGCCTCGGCTGACCACTCTCGGGGGATGGAGCATGGGGTCTTTGAGAGACTGAGGAGGGAATTGTGGGGACTCGTCTTTGGAGGCTGTGGTCTGAGAGGTCCCTGGTGTTTGGCTGCACTGCTGTGTGGCCAGCACTGGGCCCCGTATGCCCCAGCTCCCTTTGTGGAGCAAAGTCAAGGACTCACTGCCCTGGACAGGGCCCAGTCACTGTGGAGCAGCTCCCCAGGGAGTGGGAGGGACGGGGTTAGGGGGAGGGATGCAGGGTGCCATCCTCCACAGCTACTTTCCCAAGGGCGGGAAGGGTCTTCTAGGAGGAGGGCCAGGCATGCAGGATAGGGTGGGCGTGGGTAGTTGCTGCTATCTCCTTCATGTGATCCGAGCTTGGGATTGGGGCAGGGGCAGGGGCCCAGGTGGGCCTTGTCATGTGGAGGCACCCTGGAGGCCGCCAGGGTCTTACGGACTTTGTGCTGGTGCCTGTGCTGGGGCTACAGCCTCGCCCAGGATCTGGCAGAGCTCCTGGAGGCGCCGCTGCATCTTGGGAATGCCTGCCAGCTGCTGCTCCAGTCGCTGCTTCTCCTCGGTCAGGCTCAGGCGGACAGCCGAGTCCAGCTTCTCGAACTTCCAGCCGCCCTCCCCATCGAACTGTAGCAAGTGTGTGTGGTACTTCCTGGTCAGGACAGGGACAGGGTCAGAGGCATGACACCAGGGCTGCCGATGGAAGCCGTGTGCTGCTGCTGGGCCCAACAGACCACCCAACTCCAGGCAGGGAGAGAGGGCGCCTACCACAGGGAGGGACGGTGGGTGATGGAGAGCAGAGCGATGCCCGTGTCCTTGGCCGCCTGGAAGATCTTGCCTTCCACGTCGATGCTCACAGCGCTGGTACATTCATCCAGGAGGGCGTACTTGGGCCTGGCGATTGGGGCCGAGAAAGGACAGTCTGTGAACCCTCCAGTGCCTGGCACCCCATCCCAGCTAGAGCTCCATAGAGCCAAGGCCTCTCCATGGCTGCTGCTTCCCCTCCTAGGGGACCCCAGGGAGCCTGCCAGCCCGGAGTGCTCACCTGTGGTAGAACATGCGGGCCATGCCGATTCTCTGCTTCTCGCCGCCCGACAGGACATCCTTCCAATCACACACAGCCTCCCAACCTGGGCAGGGAGCAAGGGGCTTGGCTCAATTCCACCAGCACTGAGTGCTCGGGGCCAGCTGGGGAGCTGGGGCAGCTGCAGGAGTGAGCTGACTGGAAAGACAGGGCCCCTGTGCCTCTGCGTCCTTGTCTGTCTGCCAGGCATTCATCAAGGAGGAAGGGGAATGGAATCGTGTGTTCCCCTAGAGCAGATATGGTGGAGTCCCAGCTGCACTTATTTGGAGATAGGGCCTTAACAGAGGTGATCACACTAAGATGAGGTCACCAGAGTGGATCCTAATTCGGTATGACTGTGTCCTCATACAAAGGGGTGTGCGGGCAGAGGACGTGCATGGAGGGAACGAGATGTGAAGATACAGAGGGCAAGGCCAGCCCTGGAAGGAACCCACCCTGCTGGGCCCTGGATCTCGGGCTGCTGGATCCAGGAGATGATCCACTCACGCAGTTTACAGCAGCCCCAGGGCGCCCACTCAGTTTCTTGGCACAGAGCCCCGGAGTGGCCAGCGTGCTCTCCCCAGGCTGGGGGCTCACCACCCGTAGGAGGCTCGCCATCACTGCCCTGTGCCAGCACCTCTTGTCTTCTCCCCCATGCTGCCTTCCCCTGTGGCCCAGGGCTGGAAGTAACGACAGGGTGTGTGGCCACCCAGAATAGAGATTGTGCTTCCCAGGCGGCCTAGGTGAGGTATAACTGTAAGTATTCGATATGGTGGCTTCTGGAACCTTCCTTAAAAGATAGATGGCACATACCTTTTGCCCCTTCCCTTCCACTTCCTCCATCCTATAGCCTGTGACATGACGTGAGGGCTGCAGCAGCCCTCCTGGATCATGAGGTGACTTTGGGAATGGAGGCCACACACAGCAGAGTGACCTAGTAGAAATACCTGGAGCCCTGGGGCCTTCACAGAGCAGGGCCAGCCCCGGCAACCATGGCCTGCCTCTCTTGGGACCTGACAGCTCAGTAGGATCCACTCACAGATGATCTTAGCCACGATTGTGGGGAGGCCAGTTCTGTTCCTCACAGCTGAACTCCATCCTAATGGTTCATGCTGGCCGGCCACAAGCCCTGGGGACTCAGGGCTGCCACAGACGTGGGAGGGACCACACGCTCCCAGGCAGAGGGCAGCAGGAGCAAGAGGCAGGGCCAGGCCAGGGGCGTGGTGCCCATGTCCTTGAACCATGAAGGGAGCCCCAGGAGGCGAGGTCCTTGCTCAAGGCCATCTGTCACCCAGCAGTGGGGGCTGGAGACAGAACCCAGAGGCTCAGAATTCAAAGACAGAACTGGACACTGTCTGCTGTGTCCTGTAGCTGCACCCGCTCTCCTCCTCCGCTCTAGGCATGATGGACACTGTGGACATACAGCGCTCCTTGATAAGCCCAGGTCAAGACAATAGCTCAGCCTGGCCTCCTCTCCCAAGAGGTTGTCTCAGAATCTACCCGACTCTGCTCACCCCAGCCCCCTCCAAACCTCTGCACAAACCTGACAGTGCCCATACCTGTACACGTGTGCCTGCCTCTCCTATGCTGCCCCTGCCCACTGCCTCATGGTCCTTCCAAGAGCATCTGATCCCACTCAGGGAAAGCCCAGGCTCCTGCCTGGTCCAGAGGGTCCTCTGTGAGCCAGCCTCTCCTGTCACCAAGCCTGCGGGCCACACTCCGCCCTGCTGTCCCTGGCCTCTGGACAGGGTGACCACTCAGCATTCCGCAGGTCTCAGCTCAGACCTCCTTTCTCTGGGAGAGGGTGTCCTAGGTTCCCCAATGAGGTGCACGCCCCTGAAGTGCCCCCTTCCCTAGGGCACCCATGCCACCTGGGCCATCTGTGTGGTGCTGGTCCTCCCTGGTAGCACCCTCTGCCCCACCCCTGTGGCACCTGGCACTTTAGACTCCTGGATGTGGAGATAATCTTCACCCCCTGGAGGCCAACGGAGAGGCCAGGGAGGGACAAAGGGTGGCTGCTGGCCCCGGGCCTCCTACCTCCCTCCCGCTGCAAGATGTGGTGCAGGTGCACAATGTCCAGGATGGCCTCCAGGTCCTGCTCTGAGTAGCCCTTCCTTCGCATGTCCTCCACTGAGTCTGGGTAGATCACCTGGTCACGCAGGGAGCCCACAGACATGTAGGGCCTGTGGAAAAGCTGGGTGTCATGGAGGGAAGGGCCAGCCCTGCTTCCCCCAAAATGCTCTGTGCCTCCCAGGTGGGGTCCACATTGCTACCCGTACACACACTCCACACAGAACCCAGACAGGGCAGTGGGTTGGGTGGGTGTGGAGGGAGCATGCACCATAGCCCCCCTCTGGCTCTGAGGACAGCCGCTGTCCTCTCCTGAGATGCTGACTCTCCACCACTTCCTGGGCCTCTGCAGGAAGCCACGTCTGAGCGCACAGGCAGGAAGAGGTGGGGAAGAGAAGGCATGGGCTCCTCACCTCTGCGGGATGTAGAACATGCGCTGGGGTGGGGGCTTGTAGAGCACGCCACCGTACGTGGGCCATAGCCCGCCCAGGATCCGGAACAGGGAGCTCTTGCCGCAGCCGTTGGGGCCGGTGATGAGGAGATGCATGCCTTCCTCCACCTGAGGGGCAACAGCCGCTGACGCCAGAGAGCATGGCCCCTTCCCACACCCTGTGGCCTCCTGCCCAGTCTTGAGAGGCTCCCAACGCCCGAGGCCAGCAGGCGGGCCATTCTTGATCTCTTGATAAGGGACAGCAGGGCCTGGGGGATGGGATCCAGCGTCCCCAGCCCTAGATAGATGGAGAGTCAGCTAAATGCCTGACCCAGGACACAGGAAAGGCCAAGACCCGGCCCTGTCCTCAGGCCCTGACATGCCTAGAGAACATGGGGCCAGCCCAAGAGGAAGGGCTATTTCGCCACAGCTGGCCGAGGAGGTTCTAACAGTTAGTGGAGCTCTCAACCCCATCCGACTCCCACTTTACTGGGAATCCAAGAGCCGGGTCGACTCTCAGCCCTTTTTAAGAAACTGCCCTGAAAGTCACTTTGTTTTCAAGAGATGAGATCTTACTCTGTCACCCCAGCTGGAGCGCACTGGTGCGATCACAGCTCACTGCAGCCTCCAGCTCCTGGGCTCAAGTGATCTTCCCACCTCAGCCTCCTGAGTAGCTGAGCCTATAGATGTGCGACACCATGCCTGTCTATTTTGAAAACGCTTTTTTGTAGAGACAGGGTCTTGCTATGTTGCCCAGGCTGGTCTCAAACTCTTGGCCTCAAGCAATTCTCTGGCTTGGCCTCCTGAGTCACTGGGTACAAAAGGTATGTTCTTTCTTTATGAGACAGGGCCTTGCTCTGTTGCTTAAGCTGGAGTGCAGTGGTGGGATCATGGCTTACTGTAGCCTCAACCTCCTTGGCTCAAGTGATCCTTTCACTTCAGCCTTTCAAGTAGCTGGAACTACCGACATGGCCACCACAATTGGCTAATTTTTGTATTTTTAAAAATTTTTGTAGAGACGGGGTTTGCCCTGTGGCCCAGGCTGGTCTTAAACTCCTGGGCTTAAGCAATCTGCCTGCCTCGGCCTCCCAGAAGGCTGGGATGACAGGCATGAGCCACCACACCTGGCCAAAAGGCACTTTCTTTATGGTCTAGACTGATACACAAACCCCACTGCCTCCCCATCGCTGCCACCCCTTGGCTCAGCATCACAGACCTCTGGCTCAATTCACTGATTCCATGGTCCTCACAGGAGCAGGGAAAATGCCAGCCAGGCTGGAGGTGGGCTGTGTGCAGGGAGGAGGCCATGGGGCCTGGAGTCAGTGAAGTTCACGGGGCTCCTATGGAAGACCTGAGGCTGTGGTCTTTTACCTCAGGCAGTGTCACGGGTGGAACTGTGTTCCCTGAAACTCCTGTGCAGGAACCCTAATCCCTACTGCCTCGGAGTGTGAGCTTATTTGGAAACAGGGTCATTGGGGATGTGATGAGTTAGATTTGGATGAGGTCATTCCGCAGGGTGGGCCCTAATGCAGTGTGACCCATGCCCTGACAGAAAGGGAGGACGGAGACATGGACACACTAAGAGGGAGAACGCCGTGTGGAGACAGAAGCTGAGACCAACCTGACCTGCCGTGGCAGAAGCCAAGGAAGTCCACAGAGGGGCAGCAGAGCAGGAGCTGGGACAGAGGCCTCGGCAGAAGCCCGCCCCGCCTGCGCCTTCCTCTTGGACTGCGGGCTCCCCAGCCAGGAGAGAGGCCGTCTCTGCTGGGGAAGCCACTTGAAATTTGTGGCACTTTGTGACAGCAGCCATAGCATGCTAACACAGCCACCTGACTGTCCCCTCCTGAGGGGCTGGGCCTTGGCCTGGCCACATCTTGCACACCCGGCTCCCTGAGCTTGCCTGCTGTGCTGCCTGGGGCCAGCCTGGAAAGCACTCCCTTGGACCCACTGGTGATCAGCTCCCCCGCTACCCCAGGAGTGGCAACTGCCTGCAGCGAGGGGTAACCACCTGTGCCAGCCCCTGGAGCCCTGGTACGCCTCTCCTCTCACCTCCTTTCTGCTTCCACCTCTGTGAGCTGCCCTCAGGCCCACAGCCCCTGGCTCCCCTACCCTCAGCTGCCTGTGCAAGGCTTCATCCCGCCCACACCATCCCCAGGGACATTGACCACTGTTCTTGCGACCCCTGCTGTCCCCTGGAGACCTCTGTAACACTTTAGTGCTCTCCACGGTGGGGACTCCCTGAGCACAGAGCCCCTGATTTACCTCAGGCTTTGCTGTCCAGCTCAGAGGTCAGGGCACATTGGTTAAATGAATGAATGAGTGACTCCTTGTCACTCCCCCACCTGTCCCTCCACCCTGGTCTCCCCCTCACTCCCTAGCCCCATCCAAACCCCCAGCTGGGGACACAGGTGATCTGTGGATTCTTTGCTGTGGTCTTCCCAGGGTAGTCGAGGAGTGGTTTGAATCAGCACCCCCACCCCCAGTCTTGGCTTTCTTGGGAGTGTGGGGAGTTGGCATCAGATGATAGGGCCAGGAATGCTGGGGTGAACCTTGGCCAATCCTAGTATCTCCAGTCTTTTTATCAGCCTTGCCTCTGTTGCCCCTGGTGTCTCACCTTGACCTTGGCCCACCTGCCACGTAGATCTAGGGACAACGGTTGTTGCCAGCACAGACAGGCGGGAAGCCAAGGGCTGAGGCTTGCAGATATGTGTGGCCAGGCACCCTGGCCCCATGCACTCGGCCCAGCCTGACTGTCACTCTCCCCGCTGGACCTACCCTGATGTTGAGGCTGGCCACCACCACCTCTCCGGCGGGCGTGATGATGGGGATGTTCTCGCAGATGATCCCCTGCTCCACGTCCACCACCTGGCCTGCAGAGAGAGCACAGTGCGAGGAGAGGGAGTGGTGGCGCCCCTCTGCATTCCGGGGGATCTGCATGCCCCAGGCTGTATGCCCTCATTCCCACCCTGAGGCAGCATGCCAGCCGGTCCCCCACCAGCAGCCTGTGGTCCAGGGCCCCTTGGGAACACAGCCAGGTCTTCCAACGAGCCGAACTCCTCCTCTAATGTCTAGTAGGGTGCCCTGGGCTGCTACCCTCTGGTCCTCTGCCACCCTCTGGTCCTCTGGAACTCTCCCCTCTGGGGGCCCTCCTCTGCAGCACCTGCCTCCCACGACAGCCAGCAGCTGGCACACTGTCTGGAGCTTTCTCTTGCTGCCCTGTATGGGGGAGGGACCCCATCCCCCTTGTTTTCAACCAACAGGCTGGGGACCTCAAAGGGCAAGGCAGCAGGGTGGCTGGCAGCACCTCTCCCCAGAAAACCCTCCAGGGGCCTGGCTCAACCAGGCCTAAGTCCTCAAACCCCTTGCTGGGCAGCCCTCCTGTCTCGGGTGGACTGGGATGGGCCAGGAGCACATGGGGGTCCTGAGTGAGGGAGCAGGGATGGGAGGAGCTGGGGTAGCCGTAGCAGCAGGGGCGGGGTCACTCACAGGGAGGGGACAGCCTTACCTTGGATCTTCAGGGGACCCTCCACACGGACACCAGCCCGGCCTATGGTCCCAGACCCCGGCTGAGTGTCCTCCAGCTCCCCGGGCCTCTTGAAGTGACAGCGCTGGACATCTGCAAACACCTGGAACATCTCGTGCACCCTGGCTGTGTAGCCAGCCAGCTCCGTCACCTGAGGGAGGTGACTCTGGCTCAGCTTCTGCCACGTGCAGGGAGAGGAGCATGGCAAGGATGGCAAGGGTGGGGCTGGCCGGGAGTACCTCTTTGTAGGACGACATGATCCTCTCGGTGGCATCTGCGGCCGCTGTCAGGAGGTTGCGGGCGATAGTGAAGGCTTCTGTGCGCTCGCTGACCAGCTCCTCCTCCTTCTTCTCCAAGGCCGACTTCCTCACAGCCTCTGCATCTGCAAAGCCCAAGAGGGACGGGTGGTGGGTGGGGAGGGGCAGAGATGGGAGAAAATGAAAAACGAACCGCTGGAGAGAAAGATGAGGCTCTTCTGCAAGTGATGCTGGGACGACCAGGTCTCTCTCTCCATTTCCATGCGCGGGAGAGGGACCTCTCCATACCACACGGACAAACCGACCTAGAGCGCAGCACAGGCTGAAACTCTCAGAAGAAAACAAGGGTAAAGCTTCATTACTTTGGATATGGCAATAGTTCCTTCACTAGGACACCAAAAGCATGACCAACAAGAGAAAAACAGATCAACTGAACCTCATCCAACTAAACACTTTTGTGCACCAAAGGACAACATTGAGACAGTGAAAAAGACGAACTACAGACTGGGAGAAAACACTGCAATGGGGAACCACATACCTGATGAGGGCGCAGGATCCAGAATATATAAAGAACGTTTACAACTCAACAACAGAGATAACCCCATCACACGTGGTGAAGGATGTGAACAGACATTTCTCCAAGTAAGTCATACAAATGGCCATTCGGCACAGCAAAAGAGGCTCAGCATCATTAGTCTTCAGAAAAATGCAAATCAAAACTACCAACAGATACCTCCTCATACCCATGAGGTGGTTAGAATGCAAAGGAGATACCAGTGCTAGCCAGGATGAAAGGTGGAGCCTCCAGCACTGCTGGCAGGAAGGTTAAACGGTACAGCCACTATGGAGAACAGTCTTGCAGCTCCTCAGAAAGTGAACCCTGCAGTTACCATGTGACCCAGCAGTTCCACTCCTAGCTATACACCCAGGAGAAACGAAAACAGATGTGCACAGAGACTTGGCCACGGATGCTCACAACAGCCAAAACATGAAGAAACCCAAATGTCCATCAAGGGATGAACAGATAAAGAAATTGTGGTCTGTGCACACAATGGAATATTATTCAGCCATGAAAAGGAACGAAGGGCTGATTCATCTTATGCCATGGACGAATCTTGAAACCATGATGCTCAGTGAAGAAAGCTAGTCACAAAAGTACACAGAATGTATGATTCCATTTCTAGGAAATGTCCAGACAGGCAAATCCACAGAGACAGGAGGCAGATGAGTGAGTGCCAGGGGCTGGAGAGAGGAGTGAGGAGTGACTGTTCATGGGTCTGGGGTTTCTTTGGGAAATAAAATAAAACAAAAACTTTCTCAAGTTAGTGGTGATGGCTGCACAACTCTGCAAATGAATTTAATTGTACATTTGAAAAGGATGAATTGTATGGTATGTTAATTACATTTCAATAACATTGATCTTTAAAATGCACCAGTAGGCATCTGGCTTTCTTTCTTGGCACCACCAGCTCCTTCCACCTGCCCTCTGTCCTGCACCACTGATGTCACCCCTGGTGGGTCACATCTGAACTTCGTCATATACCGCCCAGGGCTGTTTGGCTTTGAAATACCAACATTCCACTTTCTTTTTTTAGATGAAGTCTTGCTCTGTCACCCAGGCTGGAGTGCAATGGCATGACCTCAGCTGACTGCAACCTCTGACTCCCAGGTTCAAGTGAGCCTCGTGCCTCGGCCTCTCCAGTAGCTGGGATTACAGGAGCCTGCCACCAAGCCTGGCCAATTTTTTTTTTTTTGTATTTTTAGTAGAGGCCGGGTTGCACCGTGTTGGTCAGGCTGGTCTCAAACTCCTGACCTCAGTTGATCCGCTCACCTTGGCCTCCCAAGGTTCTGGATTCCAGGTGTGTGCCACCGCGCCCAGCCTCATGCCCCACTTTCTCACCTCCCCTCTACACCATGGTTTTTGACCTCTGGGCCAACAGCCATATTGTTTGGCCTCTGCTTCTCCCAGGACCTGTTCCTGTCACAGTGTAGACCCCATGGCAGCACCCTTGACCCTCATCAATGGCCTTGACTCTCGGTCTCTTGATCCTTAGAGTCCCCACAGGAACAGAGGTGGTAGGAAGGAAGGTTCTGTGGAGGATCCGAGGACTCTATCCAGCAGTGTGTGTGACCCTGAGGGGGAACCCTCGGGGATCATTGGCTGGGGGCTGGGGAGGACATGGAATGCAGAGTCTGCTCAGGGCCATGCAGGGTGGAAACTAGGAAAATAGACTGGGCTGGCAGGGTGCAGGTGTTCATCCTAAAGGTCAAGGCCTTGCACCTTCCTTCCCACCGTGCCCTCAAGGACACAGCCCTCCTCCCCAGGTGTTCTGAGAGCTGCACAGTCACTGTGACAAAGGGAAGGGTCTACAGGTCTTTGTGGCCAGGACATCCTGGCGCAGAACCAGCTGTCCTCTGAGGGTTCTCTTAGAGTCTTGGGCAACTAAGGCCAGGGCCCCGGAGCTGGACACAGCAAGGTCTCTGGGCTGGAGTGGGAGGCATAGGTCCTGCCCCTTTCCTGAACCCGACTGCCTTGCAAGCCAGCAGAGCAAAGCTTATCTAAATCTTCCCCAACGGGTAAGAGCCTGCCTCCCCACCCAACCCCCAGCATGCTCTGTGTCCTTGAAGCACCTGGAACCCTCAGTAGCCACTGTGCAGGGGACACAGCACAGACAAAACAGACAAAAATCCCTGCCCTCATGGAGCTTGCAGTATATGGCAGAGAGGGAACAGTGAGGCAGGGTAGGAGACAGGAAAGGCCTTGCTTAGAGGGACTGAACCATGGGCAGCAGGAGAAAGAGTGCAGAAATAAGAAGGCTACAGGACCAGGCATGGTGGCTCACGCCTGTAATTCCAGCACTGTGGGAAGCCAAGGTGGATGGATCACCTGAGATCAGGAATTCAAGACCAGCCTGGCCAACATGGTGAAACCCCATCTCTACTAAAAATACAAAAATTAGCCAGGCGTGGTGGTGTATGCCTGTAGTCCCAGCTACTTGGGGGGCTGAGGCAGGAGAATTGCTTGAACCCAGGAGCTGGAGGTTGCAGTAAGCCGAGATTGCACCACTGTACTCCAGCCTGGGTGACAGAGTGAGACTCCGTCTCAAACAAAACAAAAAAAACCCAAAAAAACAGGACAGAGCTGATCAAGCTGGGGAAAGGGAGCACTTTGCAGCCTTCAAAAGCTGCTGGCTCTGAGGACCACCAGAGCAGGGCCAGGAGCTCGTGCTCCTTTGAATCGTCAACAAAGCCTGGCACAGCAGAGGCTCAGAAAAGCCCTAGGCCTTCAGCACAGGGAACAGCCCAATGCAACCAGCGGTAGCCATGGAGAGAAGCGGCTACAGGTGCTGTCTCACGGGCTGTCTAGGTGCCTGGGGCTAGGTATGCCGACTGGGCTGGGCACCCACGCTGGCATCAAGGCTGCCCTTGATGTGCAGTCCCCGAATTAGATCCTTCCTCTTGGTGAGTCACCCAGAGGACAACACAGACAGCTGAGGGCATGGAAGCCCCGAGGTGGAAACAGGAACAGGGAGAGAATCACACTTTTGTTTATAAATCGAAAACCCTCTTCTCACCAAACTGAGTAAACTATAACACTATTTCAAGCAGAGCCAAGCTTGACAGAAAGCAAGGGAAACTCCTGGGACCAAAGGGAAGCGGGCAGCCAGGTGGTCCTTTGAAAGCCCCAGAGGCGGGCAGAGCGAAGACCAGCACGCTTTCTTTGCTTATCGAGGGCTCTATGTGCACTGAGAATTTCTAATGATGCGCCTGGAGCTCAAATGAATTCAAATGAAACTATCTCTCAATGCAGGAACCATCCCCCTCTCGCACTAGCTAAGGTAACACGAAAATGGCCTCCAATGGCTTAATTACCCTGGAGTGCTTGGCCAAAACAGAGGAAATATGTACTTACACCCTCCATCGAGGCCACACCAATCCCCATACAAGTCCTGCTGCAAAACCCACAAGGAACTGATCTACCATGAGTGAAGACCAGCAGACAGAAGACAGGTGAGTGAGGCTCCCAAGAACTGAAGCAAACCAAACCATCAGGTAGAGACGGTGGAGTAAGTCTGACTAACACGATCTGCAGCATAAAAGGGGCCGTCAAAGAGATGAGCAAATAAGACACAGAAACAGCCTGACACATTGACTCAAAAAAGGAAATCTCCATTTACAAATTTCAATTTGAAATAGAATCAAGTAGAACTTACAGAACCAGTCACTGAAATGTGAGCAAAATTCCAATTAGACATGGCCAAAGAGAAGACTGGTGAACTGGAAGAAGGCCTGAGGGAGTCTCCAGAATTCAGCACAGACAGTGAGATGGGGAACAGTAAACAGAAACCAAAAGACACAGCGAAGAGAGGGAAAGCCAGCGTGGCTGGCAGGAGCTCTAGAAGAGGGTAACACAATGAGAGTCAGGCAACGTTTGAAAAGATAACAGCTGAGAATCTTCCAGAATGACTGAAAAACGTGAATCTTCAAAGGACATATAGCAAGTCTCAAGCAGAATAAACAGAAACTGAGACCTAAACATGTCATAGTGAAACTGCAGAAAGCTAAAGAGAAAGGAAATCATCACAGCACCCAGAGGAAAAACACAGGTACTTGGGGAGGCTGATTTGTCAGCAGCTACAGAAGAAGCAGGGGGACAATGAAACACTGTGAAAGGGCTGAGAGAAAAGAACTGTCCACCTAGACTCCATTGTGCGAGTCAACTTTAGCTTGGGAATAAGGGTGGAACAGAAACATTTTCAACAAAAATAATCAAGAATGACAACAGGCTGGGTGTGGTGGCTCACACCTGTAATGCCAGCACTTTGAGAGGCTGGTGCTGGAGGACCGCTTGAGCCCAGGAGTTCTACAATAGCCTGGGCAACACAGCAAGAACCTGCCCCTACAAGAACCAAAACAAAATGAAACAACACAAAGAATTACAATAAATAATCGAGAATTTCTCAGGACAAAACCCTTACTGAAAGAACCTTTTTAAAAAACCAACCACGATTAGAAGTACTGATGTCTGTTTGTTCTAGTATACTTGTGAGTTAAAAAAAAAAACAACTCAAAAGATGTCTATTTGGAGGAAGATAACAGAGCATAGAGGCTGAGATGTAAAAACAAAATGGTTAGCACAGAAATCAACAAACCCGTTAGCGAGTTTCAACGTGCAGGGATAAGGCGATAGCAGAGGAAAACCAAGGTGCAAACCCAGGAGGAGGTGGAGCTATGGACCAACCTAAGGAGTGCGCCTGTTGATCTTGTGGGTAAAAGTAGAGCGCAGAAGCTGCAATCCAGTAGAGGAACAAAACAGGAACATAATCCCAGCACTTTGAGAAGCTGAGGTGGGAGGATCATCTGACTAGGAATTCGAGACCAGTCTGGGCAACATGGCGAAACCCTATCTCTACAAAAAATATGAAAATTAGCCAGGTGTGGTGGCTGGCGCCTGTAGTCCCAGCTACTGGGGAGGCTAAACTGGGAGCCAGGGTTGCACCACTGCACTCCAGCCTGGGTGACAGGCCCATTTCAAAAACCAAAAAACAAAATAAAACAACAAAAAAACCAGGAATGCAGAAAACCTAAATGTTGAATCTTATCACTAAAATAACAAGTAGAACAGGCTCCCTACTCCTCTAAAACGCCTTAGGGTGAGGTTCCCCTCTGCAACTTGCCAGAGCTGTTTTAGGGCTGAGGAAACCAAGGCTGGAGTGATCAAGGTACTGCCCACATCCTCCCACCCCTAAGGTGCAGCTGGGTTGAGGACAGGGACAGGTGGGTGAGGGTACCTGTGCGTGGAGAAGTGACGTGTGGTGTCCCTGACTCGAAGTCCTGGGCTTGGCTGAGTGGTACCAAGGGGCGTGAGGTGCACGCAGGGCAAAAGGCAAGCTCAACCTCTGGGAGCATCAAGGGTGGCAGCAGGGCCTCAGTGGCCCCGGCAGCAGAGGTGGGAGGCGGGCTGGCTGAGGTGGGCCCTCGTGAGCCCAGTATGTAGCAGTGTAGGGGATGGGCCCCTGCCCTGGATCCTCTTAGAGCCCTGGCTCTCACCTGACTCTGAGTAGCCAGTGGCAGTGATGATGGGGACAGCCACCATGAGCAGACCTGAGGCGCTCCACACATACTTCATGAGAAACTGCTCCAGCATGACATACCACAGGCGCTCCAGAAGGATGAGGTTTATCTGTGAGGCCAGGTCCTGGTAGGAGTGCTGCAGCAGCGCCAGCTCCACCTGTGGGGGGTGACAGACACAGAGAGGCTTCGTGGCTGTGCACAGGGGCAGCTCCCATGGGGGTGATGGTCAGAGTCTTCCAGAGCCACTCATACACACTATGCCATGGATGGCCATGAGAAGGCCAAGAGTGGGGGGTTATGATTGGGTGGGGCCAGGTCTGAAACTCAAGGTGTGAGGGGATGTAAAGGCCTGCCTGATGTCCCAGTGCGGCTTCCATCCCCTCTCCACTCCCTGCCTAGTCGGGATGCTCACCACTACCCTGTCAGCCCTGGAAACCAGCCCAGGGCACTCACCTTGTTTCTGTCTTCTCCCTGCCAGCCCCCACTCCTGGTCCAGAGAGGTCATCCATCAGCTCTAATTTCCCCCTAAACTAGCAAAGAGCAGCACAGGACAGCAAGGGGCAGTGCTCTTGGGCTGGGTACAGTAGCTCACACCTGCAATCCCAGCACTTTGAGAGGCTGAGGTGGGAGGATTCCCTGAGCCCAGGAGTTGGAGACCAGCCTGTCCAACATAGCGAGATGCTGTCTCTACCAAAAATAATTTTAAAAAATTAAGCAGGCGTGGTGGTGCACACCTGTAGTCCCAGCTACCTGGGAGGCCGAGGTGTGAGGATCACAGTAGCCCTGGAGCTTGAAGCTGTGGTGATGGTGCCACTGCACTCCAGCCTGGGCAGCAGAATGAGATGCTGTCTCTTGGTTCTGAAAAACTCGGTTCAACAGTCTGGGCCTATTTAGCCCCCATCCCCTGCTCCCCGTCAAGCAGGGGTGGCTTTGATCCCAAGTCCCACTGCTGCCCTGGGCATTGCTCATTAACCTCCACTTGGGCTGAGTCACTCCCATAATGCCCACCCGCCTGGCCCAGCCCCCTCTTTCCCTTCCCACAGTTCCTTTTGGTGAGAAATTTGCATGGCATTTTCCCACAGAAACCAGGAGGATGCACTCCTGAGCTGGGCCCTATAGGACTCGCCCTGGGGGATGTCCTGATGACTGTCGAGTGGGGACCTTGCGCCCTCAGCAGTAGGTAGGCCTCCCCTGCTCTTCTGTCTCCCTTCCTGCACTGGCCACCACCATGTCAGGACACCAGCAGGAGGGGAAAGGGACATCTGCAGGGAAGAGGTGGCAGCAGCAGTCAGACAGGTGGGGAAGGTAGGAGGTGTTGGGCAAGGTAGCCAAGGGGTTGTGAGTTTCTGGGCTCAATTCAGGGGCATGCGCCCCAGCCTTGCCTCCCCACAGCTGTCCACAGCCGAAGACAGCTGCCCAGCATGGCACTGTTTGCCAAGTGCTCTCCTGTCTCTCTGCAGCTGATTCTCACCATGTCCCACTGCATGTTATTAACGTGCTCATTGTACACAGAACACTGAAGCCCAGGGAGGCAAAGGGACCTGCCCAAGCCCATACAGCTTGATGGTAGCAACCAGTGTGCGAATTTGGACCATACTGGCAGAGACGCTAGGAGAACCAGATTTTGTAAATGATGCTTTGACTTATCAAGAGAGGTTTACTTTGTTCTCAAGCAACAAGAGATTGTGTGCGTGCGTTTGCATGCGTGTTTCAATAAGCCTCCTCGTGGCAATCCCAGGAAGGACGGAATACTCTACTCTCTGCCCTCCAGCCAGTCAGCTGCTTCCACCCTGAGCTAAGCCCAGGCCAGTGTCCACGGATACATCAGCCAGCAGGACTGGCACGGGCCATATAACTGCCCCAGCAAGGGCCATCCAGCCATCGGGGGGTCCTATCACCCCACACAGCTTTCCAGCTGAGGCCTATGCAGACAGGCCGCAGACCCACATGGGGCCCTCCTGCCCCAGCCAACAAACTCTTGGCCAACACACTACTTCCTCATGCTAGCCCAGACGAAGGCCTTCAAACAACCAGTGATCTCTCTACTTCCTGAAGCTAGCTCAGATGAAGGCTTTAAAAAACCAGTGATCTCTCTTCTGCCCCTGCCACCCAGGTCAGCCTGTACAGCTCAGCTCCTCACAAGCCCGATCTCCCATTCCTGAAGTGAGCACCCTGGCAATCCAGACTCGTGCTGGGAGCTGGCAGGGGTGCCAGCCAAGGCTGACAATGTAGCTGCAGGGAATGTGCCAAGTGCCTCGCCCAAGGCTGCGGCTGCCTGCCAAGGCCCTGCAGCCCAGCATGCGGGAGAAGAGCAGAGGGAAGCCGGGGTGGTGGCTGAAGTCCAGGTGCCTTTTCTCTGAATCTGCAGTCTGGCCCACACCCGGGATGCCCCTCTCCGTGGAGTTTGGGGACAAGCCTGCTTCTCTGCTGGTGCACAGTCAGTGAGTCCAGGTCCCAGGGCAAGAGGTCACCTGACTCAGGGAGCACACACAGGCCTTCAGGGGATAAATGCCATTGTGCCCTTCCTCCCAAGAAGCACTAGGGAACTGAAACTGAGTCGCAGAGAGACGGGCTCAAGGCAGCTGCAACCCTAGGCATGGGGAAGGGGAGGGGCCGATCCGAGATGAAGGGAGCGCTGACCTGGAATAACCTTTCCCAGCGCCTGCCTAGCCTGCCCGCCCCGGCCTGCCAGGAGCAGGAAGTGTGTCCCGCCGTAGTGGCAGCCTGGGGCCGGCATCTCTGGTCTGGTGGCCCAGGAAGGCAGCTGAGCCAGTTGGTAGCTGGGCAGGCCCGTGGGCTCAGGAGGGGGTGGCCTTGACCCCAAGTCCTACTGCTGCACTGGGCACTGCTCATTAACCTCCGCTTGGGCTGAGTCATGCCCATAATGCTCGCCTGCCTGGCTGGCCAGCTCTGCTGGACGCCGGCCTTCAAAGGGCCCAGGGGCCCAGGAGGGGCTGAGTAGCAGGCTGCGTCCGGCGGTCGCCACTCATGAATGGCAGGCATCTCCTCCTAGCTGCCTCCAGGAGTGGGGCGGGCAGGAGCTCTCAATGCTCAAACCGCTAGGATCGAAGCTCTAAGGCCAGGACAACCTCCTTGAGGAGGAGAGGAAGCAGAAGTGGCCTGGAGCATGCAGGCAACCAGCACAGGACAGTCCCCACCCAGCCTTCCTGCCTCTCCACTACCGCGCCTGAGTCCACAGTGGCCCAAGGCCCTGCCCACCCCAGCCCTGCTCTCTCATGGCCTGCCCACACCTTTGGCATCAGCCCTGGCCTGTCCCGGGCTGTCCCCACCGCTCACGACTGCCTGCCCCGGGCCTCCCTGCCAAACGTTTCCCTCCATGCCCAGCACCCCAACCTGCCCCACCTCATGGCCCCCGTAGAAGGCGATCTCCTCCGAGTTGGCCACCACACGGGAGTGCATGTAGCGCAGCTCCCCCTTCCGCCGTGCCTCCTCTGCCACCAGCTCCCCGAACTTGGGCGAGAAGGCCCGCAGCACGTTGGCGGTTAGGAACACCACGAGGCCGGCAATGGCCGAGGGCCAGGCTGTGCCGGCCCCACGGGAGCGGGCAGCCCGAAGCAGGGTGTAGGAAGTCACGGCCACATCCAGGAGTGGCTTGGTCAGGTTGGAGTAGAGGTGGGCCACAGAGGCCGCGAAGGCCACCACGTCCTCTGTCAGAGACTGGTCAGGGTTGCGAAGCCGCCCATCCATGTTGCTGACTCGGTAGTAGGTCTGCTGGGAGAAGTAGAGGCTGTAGGCGTGGGCCACCAGACGGCTGCGGAAAGACAGGGCCAGTTGGCCCTCCAGGTAGCGGATGGCACTGTTGACGAAGGTGGCAGGGAGGGCGATGAGGAGCCACTGTAGCAGCTGCCAGCCGAAGGCCCGAGGGTCCTTGCGCACGATGCAGCGGGCCAGCCTTCCGTCCAGGCGGGCCACATACACAGACAGGAAAGTGCGGCTCACCAGGGCGGCCGAGTGCAGGGCCAGCAGCCCTGTCTCCCGGCACAGGACCCGCGGGAACAGCAGCCGCAGGAGCCACAGGAGCCGCTGCAGGAATACCCGGTTCATGCCGGTCTTGGCCGCCGCGGCCCCGGAGGCCTCCTGTGTGGGGTCCCTGGCGGGAGCTTGAGGACCCCTGGCCACGGCCAGGCACTGGCGCACCAAGGGGTAGGCTTTGTGGGCTCCATAGGCCGCGAGGGCCAGGAGCACCGCCGTGCGCTTCAGCGTGCTCCCCCGCCAGGGCCGGGGCATGGAGAGCACCGGCATGTCACCTGGGCTGGCTGGAGCTGGGGCTGGGGCTGGTGCCTGGGGCAGCAGTTGAGGCAGGTGGCTGGAAGGGTTGTTGCTCGGACCCTGGGCCTGTTGTCTAGGCAACTGGAAACCTTGCGGTGGCCCCTGAGACTGTCGCTTTAGGCCCCCGGGGTGGTGCTGGGGCCCCTGGTGCAGTGGGCTCAGGGCCCTCCAGGGTCGAGGCCTCTTCGGGCAGCCCAAGTTGAGGAACTTGGTTCTCCTGTCTTGTCAGTGCCCTGGCCCCTGAGGTCAGAACCTTGAGAGGTCTCGGGGAGAGAGGGCGTCTCTTCCTCTCCACCTTCTCCTCCTCCTCCCCTGGTGGCGCCCCTCCCCGGGGCACCAGGCGCGTCCGTCCGTTCCGCAGCCTGGTTGAAGCGACTGTGACTCCTCCACTGGCCCAGAATCCCCGCCCACTCACCCCTCCCCAGGGGCGAGTCGGGGGAAGGGGAGGAGGCGGAGGAGGGGAGAGGGGCGGAGTCCGGGAGCGGGAGCCCCACCCCGTTCTCGCCCCACGGCGGGGGCGATGGCCGCGCGGGCTAGAGAAGCGGCCCTAGCCGGCCCGCCAAAGCCCCGCCCTGTCCGCGTGCCCGCTTCACCCCGCCCTTCTCCCCGCCCCGCGCGCCCGGAGCCAGAGGCGCCGCTTCCTCTCACGCCCGGGGCGCTGGCCCTCCGTTTGGGGGCGGGGCGGGAAGAGGCGGGGAACGGAGCCTCTGAGGCCTCGCGAGGGCTAGTGGGCGGTGACCGGGGGGCGCTTCCGGTTTCCGGCCGTGGGGTAAGGGGCGGGGCTGGGACTGGGGCTGCTGTGGGAGAGTTTGGCGGCTGCGGTGGGGCTTGCGGACTGAGTGTGGGAAACTCGGTGAGCGGGCTCCGCGCGCCGGGCTGGGCTCCGGGGCTGCCGAGGCTCCCAGGCTCCTCGATGAGGGAGAGAGGCGAGCAGCGCTGGGAGGCCCGGGGGCCGGGGAATCTCGGGGCCCGCAGCCTACCTGGGAGGGGCAGGGGCGAGGGGAAACTGGGCGGCATCTGTAGGATCTGGGCTCGGGGGCGGGGCGGGGCGGGGGGTGGCGAAGCCCCATCTGTAGGAGCGGCCGGGCTGGGCCTCGGGGACGCTGTGCCCTGCCGGAGCCACGTTGGGGGGCCTCCGGAGCGCGTGGCCGGCTCTCGCTCTTGGTGGGCGCTGTGGCCGGCCGGGGCTGCTGGAAGGGGCCCTAGCTTCTGAGAAAACTGCGTGTAGAACTTTCTCTGTACGAGGCCTTGAGGTGCTCGATCGAGACCTGCCTTTGCGCCTGGCCCCGACTCCTATCCTCTAGGAGTCGCTCTTGCGGGCCTCCAGCCCACCGGAGGCGGAGCGGCCCCGGGCGGAAGGCTGCTTGAGCCCCGAGGGAGGTGCTGGATTCTCTCGCAGGCGCCGTGGGGAAGGTGGGGGGGGGCGGGGGCGTCAGCAGCGCTAGGACGAGGTGCGGCCCAGGGCCCTCCTGATAGCAGGGATTTGGGCTCGCAGAGCTCCCGCCTCTGCAGCTGAGATCCGCCTGGCGGGGAAGGGAGGGCCCGATTGGTGCCAAGGCGTCTTGTTGGCGCCCTGGTACTGCTCTTCCGAAGAACACCTTTCCAGTTAAACGGGCGTCGGGAGTCTGTGGCTCCCTGAGACAGGGATTGTTGGGAGAGGTGGCTCTAGACGTGTTGACACACGTGTTGGAGGGGGAGCAGGTACCTGACCAGTGAACGGAACTTTGTGGAGCCTGTGAACGCTGCTGGCCTAGCGGCCTTGCCAGGAGCCCTGCTTCTGCCAACGCTTCAGAGAGTCTGAAGCAGAGTCCAGGGGTGTGTGTGTGTGTGTGTGTGTGTGTGTCAGGGTGGAGACTGGCGGTCCCAGCCTCGCGGGGTACCTGAACTGGATGTCCTTGGCTGCCCAGCGCTTACAAGTGCTGTTCCTTCTGTGCCCTGCCAGGAAACAAGCTCACATCTCCCTGTGGGAAACCTTCTAGCAACAGGATGAGTCTGCAGTGGACTGCAGTTGCCACCTTCCTCTATGCGGAAGTCTTTGTGGTGTTGCTTCTCTGCATTCCTTTCATTTCTCCTAAAAGGTATGGCCTGTGGAGCAAGCAGGCAAGTTAGGCAGGAGGGTGCCTGTGCCCTAGCCCTGGGACTGGTGTGTGCAGCTCGTGGACCCTGGAATTGGGGCCTGATGGAACAGGTAGAACCTGTCCGAGGTGGGGGTGGCAGGAGTTGTGTGTGTTATCGCCAACCCTCCCCAGGGTTCTGCTTCATCAGGACTTGCTCAGTTCCTTTCCCATGTTCCCTGCCTTCTGGTCTTCTGAATGCCCTGGAGAGGCAGGAAGATCTATATTTCAGTTCTGGAAATGATGCCCTCCCACCTACTCTTGGTCCCTGGGTTGCTGGGATGGCAGCGTGGGATCTGGAGGACTTGCACCACTGGGTCACGTTATTGCTGATTTGGTGACTCCTGTCCTCCTAACTAGTCTCACTGCATGAACATTACTCAGCCTGTAAAGGATGAAGCCGTATTCCCTTGTAATGGACAGAAGGCCTGTTAAAAGTGAATCAGAAATTAATTTTTAATTATGTTTAATACCTGAACACATTATCCCTATTTAAATTACAATGTTACTTATGAATAAGGGCACATTTCAGCAGGTTTTTTTAAAAGCTGTTTTTTTGGTGAAAAATGACAGACCCGCTGTTGCCTGAGGAAGATTCTTGCAAAAAACCAAACCTTCATGCAGTTGACAGGCCATGCAGAGACAGAGGGCCCCGGGGAGCTTTAATCTGGGAAGCCATAGAGGGCAAACAATCTGGTTTCTACACAAAGCAAACTGGAAAAGCAAATGAAAGAGGGAGAGGGAAGGGGAACTTACAGAATAAAGAGAGATTTGAGACACTTACCTACTGAATGCCTAATCAGTTCCTTGCTGGGTCCCGATTCAGACAAATGCTCTTGCCTGCAGTGATTGGCCTTTTCCACTCTAGCCTTCATCCTGAGGGCTTCTTGTTGGTTTCAACAGTATGTAAACACTTCTGAAGTTTCTTAGAGCTTCATCCTAAAGCATTTGTGGATGGAAATGATGTGAGGTCTGGGGTCCAGCTCATCATAACCCAGGGTGGCGGGGATCTAGACAAACCACGGTTTATCATGTGGAAGACAGTTTAAAGAAATAACACATATATGGGGCAAACATTTTGAATATTACAAAGGGGAGTACAGTGAAAAGTAAGTTTCCCTTCTCAGAGACTACCACTGAGTGGTTTGTTTGTTTTTTAGACAGTCTTGCTGTGTCACCCAGGCTGGATTGCAGTGGCGTGGTCTCGGCTTACAGCAACCTCCACCTCCCGGGTTCAAGTGATTCTCCTGCCTCAGCCTCATGAGTAGCTGGGACTACAGGCGCCTGCCACCACGCCCAGCTAATTTTTTTCTTTTTATATTTTTAGTAAACATGGGGTTTTACCATGTTGGCCGGGCTGGTCTCAAACTTCTGACCTCAGGTGATCCGCCCACCTCTGCCTCCCAAAGTGCTGGGCTTATAGGCGTGAACCACTGTGCCTGGCCGACTACCAGTGTTTAAGATTAGTTTTCCAGGTGTTTCTATCTATACATGGACCAGCATCTTTTTTTTTTTTTTTTTTTTTTGAGATAGGGTCTCGTCTGTTGCCCAGGCTAGAGTACAGTGGTGCGATCTCGGCTTACTGCAACTTAGCCTCTCAGGTTCAAGTGATTCTCCTGCCTCAACCTCCTGAGTAGGCTGGGATTATGAGTGCCCACCACCACGCCTTGCTAATTTTTGTACTTTTAGTAGAGATGGGTTCTTGCCATCTTGGCCAGGCTGGTCTTGCACTCATGACCTCAAGTGATCCGTCTGCCTTGACCTCCCAAAGTGTTGTGATTATGGGAGTGAGCCATTGCACCCAGCCTTTTTTTCCAACACTCTTGAGTGGACGTCAGATTGGAGAATTGCAAGCCAGTGAGTCTGACTGTGTATGGGCTTCGGCCATAGGAGAAGAAGACGAAGCTGAATCTCCATTCTGCTCAGGGCCCTAGAGCCCGTGTGTGTACTTTAGCCCCTGTCCTTTTTGTCTTCACAGGTGGCAGAAAATTTTCAAATCCCGGCTGGTGGAGTTGGTAGTATCCTATGGCAACACCTTCTTTGTGGTTCTAATTGTCATCCTTGTGCTGTTGGTCATTGGTGAGTGAGCTAGACCTTGGTCTCTGCTGCAAAGTCCTTTGCCACTTTTGATGTGTAGCATCCAGTTCTGGCTGCTCGGAGATAGACTGATGAACTGCTGTGTCTTTCTATTGGGGGAAGGAAGAGGATCCCTTTGTCCATGCTGCTGACTGCTATTCAGGCCTTTACTTTAAAAGGCCCCTCTAGGCCAGGCGTGGTGGCTCATGCCTGCAATCCTGGCACTTTGGGATCTGGAGGTGGGCAGATCACCTGAGGTGAGGAGTTTGAGACCAGCCTGACCAACGTGGTGAAATCCCATCTCTACTAAAAATACAAAAATAGCTGGGCGTGGTGGTGCATGCATATAATCCCAGCTACTCGGGAGACTGAGGCAGGAGAATCACTTGAACTCAGGAGGCGGAGGTTGCAGTGAGCTGAGATTGTGCCACTGCATTCCGGTCTGGGCAACAAAAGTTAAACTGTCTCAAAAAAAAAAAAAAAAAAAGAGAGGCCACTTTAGCAGTGGGCATGGGCTTATACTAAGCAGTGTGTGTAGCCTTATGATGGCCACCTTACATTGGTTTTTTTTCAAGACCTTGGGAGAAAGGACACGTTAGGTTTCTGAGGCTGCTCCTCAGGTCACTCCAAAACTGAAGCCGAGAGAAGCTAACTGGCCTGAGACCTTGGTCTGAGGAGTGCTGCTTACCAGTCACTGAAACAGCAGCATTGCCTGGAGCACGGCCTCGAGCAGGGGCTGAGCAGGCAAGCACACGGTGAGCCTAGCTGTGAGGGAGGTCCTGCTGTTCCCTGGAGGAGGAGGAGGAGGAGGAGGACACTGAGATGTGTGGCAGTGAATCTTGGGGCGAGGTCCTAGACCTCTCTGCATCTGGGCCCAGCTTGATGTTTTGCCAGGTCTTTCCAGCTCTGTAGTTCTGTAAACTCTGACATTGAGGTGTCCCAGCAGGGACTTGACACATAAACTGGTCCGAGGGAAAGCAAGCTCAGGGACGAGTCCAGGCCAGGCGGTGTTAAGATGAATGGCAGACATTTTACAATGAGGTAGTGGGGTGACCATCTGGAGACAAGGAATCGATGAAGCTCTTGTCTGTTAGGCGTTTGTTGTTTTGCTGTAGTGAGTGATCAGTATGTCTCCCTGTTTGGGCTCCAAAGTATTGGTTTGGCTCAGCTGTGGACACCAGTCTTGTCTCAGAGCTGTGGTGCCTGCCTAGGCATGGAGCACTCCTCCCACTGAGTCCAGGGGTGGGTGTAGGATGGTGGGGGGAGTGGTGGAGGCTGTGGTTCGGTTCAGGGGAATGTGCA